CTCCTGAACAGCCAAAGGCGGGACCACAGCCACAGTAACACTTCTGGAGGGAAGACAATGAGGGGCCCAAGAGCCTGAAACAAGGCCAGGTCCGAACCCGGGACGGAAACACAAGGTAAAACCTCCAGATCACCAGGAAACCAAACCCAGCGATCTGGAAAGAACCATCCCCTGGCGAGCAGACAAGCGGACTGACTGGGAGCCCACTCCAGCCAGTCGTCGAGGTAGGCCAGACACCGAATCGCAGACGCAGACAGGGCACTAAGATCCGGTAAAGATGCAAAGAGTATACAAAGTGCCCTTCACAAAATAGGGAATGCAAAAAAAACAGCAAACCTGAAGCCCCACCACCAAAGCATTGTATGACAATCATATGAAGACATATTATGACACATGACAATCATTATATGACAATATGACAATTATAATCAAAGCATTATATGACAAAGAGTGCTGGGAAGACGGGACACCACGAGAGTAGCTCTCATCCTGTAACTACACTTAGGTAAGTACACATAGGTAATTACCAACCGTGCTAGCCCCAGAAAAACTGGAGAGGAACGTGCCAAGAAGTGACCTGGAGGTCCAGGTCCACCATCCATGCACCCGGCCCTAACAGAATCCGAACAGGAGACAACAGTCCTCCGAGCAGGGCAGAGGATCCAGGGCGCAGACGGAAGTAGTCCAGAAGAACTGCAGACTGGAAAAGCTCATGACTGCAAAGAGCAGACGGGAAGCCCAGAAGGATGGGGCGGATCGACCACGCCCCACGCACCCACGAAGAGGAAATGACGAAGCGCAGGGAAGAAGCCCACCCCGCCCGCTCTGAACCCCCCCCAAGGGGGGAGAAGCCGTCCTCCGACGCCAGCAGAGGACGGAAGACAACCCAAAGCGCCCACCAACAGCGGGACCAAGCAAGAGGCAACAGAGCAAGCTGCTCCCCCAGCGCCCAGTCAACAGAGAAGGGAACAGAACCCCTTCAGAAAGAAAAAGTACACTACTGAAGTCATGAGGAGAGACTACGGGAATGAAACCACACTTCGCTGGAAGAGGAAGTGAGGGGAGACCTGATCACCACATACAAGATACCCAAGGGAATCGACAGGGTTGAGAAGGACAGGCTATGTAACACAAGGGGCACACGCACTAGGGGACACAGGTGGAAACTGAGTACCCAAAAGAGCCACAGATAGAATTAAAGTTTTTTTTTTTTTTTTTTTTTTTTTTTTGAGTGTCAGAATGGGAACGGGAAAGCACTAAGAAGTAATGTGGCGACTCCTCACACAAGTAACGAGGCTGACCCCCATACAATGTCACATGTAGACATGACAGAGCCCAAGAGGCACAGGAACCGATACACCTGTTGACGGACGGTTGAGAGGCAGGACCAAGGAGCCAGAGCTCAACCCCCACAAGCACAACTAGGTGAGGACATATATTGTAAAAGCACAAGCCGCCGACTAGTGGCAAAGAGCACTACGCCGGCCAGGCAAAGAAGGCACAAAACTGCATCAAAAGGCCCACCTCGACAGCAAAACCACAAAGTCCCAGCACAACCACAACATGTGCCAAGACCCAAAAAGCTCAGTCTGCAAGCCAGGAAGACCCCGGAACCCCAAAAGGCAGAACCGGGTCACACGAGGAAACAAAGTCCCCTGAACCCACAAAAGGGGGCCCAAGAGGAAGAAACCTCCAGAACGAAACCAAGGAACCCAAAGGAACCCAGAATCGAACTAGGGGGAGCCCAAACCACCACATTTGCCGGCGGAGAACACCACTAAAAGGCAAAGCACAGACCCCAGCAGAACGCCCTGGGAAAACGGTCCCAAAAGACCGAAAACCGAGGGGCAAGGTGTGGGAGCAAGCATACCAGCCAGGGGCACTGAGCCTAAACCCAGAGGCTCAGACCCAAAATCAACACCCAAACGTTCCCAGAGGAACAGGCAACGGCAAGAAAACACCAGAAAAACAAAGAAACGACAACAGGAGAACAAAAACCCTGCAAATTTTTTGAAAACTCACCAGAGACGCTCGCTCGCACACCCAGACGCATGTAAACAAACCGCAACGCCGCCCTGGTGGCCACGCCGGGAAACCGGCAGACGAAAATGGCCGCCAGCAGGGGCTGTGACTGACGCTTAATACACAAAAACACGCCAGCAAATGTGGGAAGCTAGCAGACTGGAAGGGCGAAAAACGACGCCCAACAGCAGAAAAACCCCTGAAGGGGCAAAACCGCCCCAGAACTGCTAGTAGGCATCCCCCACAGCCCCGGGAACCAACAACAGAGGCCCCGGGGCAGAGCCGTCCTCCAAGCCCTCCGCCCTTAAAGAAAAGCAAGAGCCCATGGGAAAGGCAACAAGAAAGGGCCGCTGGTAAGACCCAGAAGCCTTGGCAGGAGGCACAGGCTCAAACCTCCGTCCCCAACCCGAACGGGGCATCCCCCGAAAACCGCCCGAGTCTCTGCCGCAACTGAACCCCCGCCCCGACCCCGAAACCCGCAGACGGTCCGGAGCCGGGAACATGGAGAGAAAGGGGCGAGCAGCACCTAACCAAACGGGGCGGCCACGGGGCATTCGAGTGGGAAACCAACCTAGCATGTTGCAGCAACCTAACCTAGCTTGCAACACGGATGCCGCCTGTACTCTGAACAGTAATAACATCAGGAGAGTACTGGAGAACAAGCAGAGAATCACTCGCAAGACTCCGGGTCAAGGTGTCAGTGACCCAACAGGCAGCATGACGGAGGTAAAAACGGCGACTGTCACCCGGAGACAAGGGAACAGCAACCAACGATCCCGTACAAGACGGGTTGGAACCCGGAAGACACATTCAATGGTCCCCCGAGCCCAGACAGGGGTTTCCAGGGCCCGTAGGGTAACAACTACGGGAAGCCCGGGCAAGGTGTTGCTAACCGGTTAAGAAACCCAAACATAACAAGAGGGTAGATTATAGCACTGAAAACCCCCGAGACGTGTACAAGCACGGGGGCCTAGCAGAGGGCCGCCAAACACTACCAGTGGAACTATAACCACCTTAGGCAGACCCCCACCAGGCAAGAAAATGAAAAACAAAAGAAAAACCCCGCAAAAGTACACCGTCTCCAGAGGCAACAGAAACCGGCTGCCGCTTAGGTGGCAGGCTGCGCAACACCTTGACGCCCTAACCAGCACAATACCAATCCCTACCCAGGGCCAAACAAGGGCCCCAAGCCCCAGCTGGCCCCAAGCCCCAGCTGGCCCCAAGGGCGAGGCAAATGCCGAGCAGCAAGAACCTCTACGGGAATGGTTCCCGAACGCCCCAGGGAAGATAACCCTGTAACGCAAGGGCAGTACTCACAGGGCGCTTAGGGAAGTCAGCCACTAAGCACATGCAGCCCCGGCACTGATGAAGTACTCCTGGCCACCGCACACCACAACACACGGCAGTGAACGCCACACAAGGCAAACACCGCCTAGGAAACTGAGGCCAGAGAAGCGTCAATCCCGGTTGACATTAGCGAACGAACTGAAGCTTGGCAGCCGGCGCGGTAGGTCCGGGGCTCCCCCCTCCCCCTCCCGGGGTGGGGAGGGCTGCGCGGACGATCGGCGCGGCAGTAAAGTGTGATGTTTGCTTGTTTGCTTGTTTCCTTGGGATTGTAGGGAGTTTTCTACCTCTCTGTTCGGTTTTTGTTGTAGTTTCTTACCATGTGGGGTTTGTTTTGTTACGCCTACCTTTCTGGGTGCCTAACCCCGGTCGATGGCAGATAAGGAAAACCCCCAACCATATGGGGTTTTCCAGGGCCATTGCTCCCTGAAACCTCTCTGAAGGGGCCAGGTTCTGGCGCTGGTCCCTGGTAGGTCTGAACTCCTTAGCTAATGTCCCGGTCTAACATAACACACATTAGCCCGATAAGCTCCAGGGAGCCGTAGGGGCTCCCCACAGAAAAGAAAATGACCAACAAAACAAATGGAAACGCAACTGGCGTAAGAGAGCCGAAATCATGCCAGCAAATGTAGGAAATTAAAGCAGACGAGAGGTGGGGAAAAAAAAAAAAAGTCCAGAATGCACAAAGTCCAATCAGGGCCAAACAGCCCCAGAACTGCTAGTGGGCTCCCCTCACAACCCTGGGAACCCGCAACAGAGGCCCCTGGGCAGAGCCATCCTCCATGCCCCCTCCATGACAAAAACTACCCCTACCCAGAGACAAACACAAGCAACAAAGACCCCAGTTGACTCCAAGGGCGGCCAAGTACCGAGTGACACAGCGGGGGTAGATCTCGAGGTGACTTGTGGAAGGTAGACCCAAGCCCCAATGGTAGTAAGTACTTACAGGGCACCTAGGGAAGGTGGCCCTAGGCGCATGCAGCCCGAGTACCGAAGAATATTACACCAGGCTCCCACACCACCAGTAGACACAGTCCACGCCACAAGGCACAGAATCCGAGACAAATCGCTGGAGCCAGAGGTAAAAGACCACACCAGTAGCACATCAGCCTGAGAACTGCAGGGTGGATTGCTGGCGTGGGGGTCCAGGGTCCTTCCCTTCCCTTCCCCCTCCCGGGGAGAGGGAAGGTTGTGAAGCGACGTGATGACGTCGTGCTCGTTTGCTAATTTTTGTTGGGGGAGTTCTGTCCACTCGTTCGGCTTTTGGTATCAATAGTTTCACCAGAATAGGGGTTTGTTTTGGGGCGCCTACCTTTCTGGGTGCCAGATCCGGTTGCTGGCAGACATAGAATGCTCCCAATCACATGGGTTTCTACATGCCATTACTCCTCGTACCTCTCTTGAATGGGCCAAGTTCTGGCTCATGGTCCCTGGGAGGCAAGAACTCTGTGCACATTGACTGATGCCAGAATGTTATACATATCCATTCAGCCTGGATAGCTACAGGGAGCCAACAGGGCTCCCCCCAGAAAAAAGCTCATCATCTAATGATAAGACTAAACTGCATACAAAGAATAACAAATAAATAAACAAACATTCTAAGAAACAAGAATGCTCATTTGCTTTCAACTTACATTTGCCTCCACGATATCCTCTATTGTCATCATCACCACCACCACCACCCTGACCCTGGCGCCAACCTTTTCCACTGTTCCTATTAGAAGCTTGGGAGAACTTCTGCCTTGTGCCAGGCCTCTCTCCATCAGTGCCATTTGTCAAATTATCCTCTCTTCTGAACGGCTCACCTCTTCCTCGGTTTCTGAGAAAAGAATATGTAAATTGTTAAAATTCAATTACAAATCTAGCATAAAATGTAATGAAATGCCTATCTCTGGTAGGCCACTCAGTAGCTTTCCGATGCAACAATGTGGACCAAGTGTGGAAGACACGCAGACGACGACTCATGAGCACATACCGGGGGCTACAACAACAATTTAGCCCACTTGAAGAGGTGATGGACAGCCTGGGGATCAGATCATACAACAGAACCCGGCAAAATATCCACCAGAAAGTGAAAACGCTCCATAACACCCCTTAGAAAAACAATACCAACAATCATTATGTTGGCAAAATCACCATCTAAATAGATTTGCCAGCCAATAGATGACAGCCCATGTAACATGGGGTTTTGGTCAGCCAGCAAGCACATTTACAACCTGTTAAAACCTTTCCTAACTCTATGAGGAAGTAGTATAATGAACAAAAAAGCTATTGAGTGATACACCAGGAGGCACTGTAGAACATTCAATGCTATATTTCTGGCAAAGCCTCCTCACCTCTCAATAGCTCCCTATGATATCTTACAACAGAGCCTCAAAAGAGGTGGTCATCAAATGTGAAATGGTAGCATACTGAATAGAAAACCAAACACAGAATGACGGCCAGGACTTCCGGTAAGATTGGGGTCGAAGAAGGCTGAAGGTAGAGAGGCACTCAGTGCCAGGCCAGCTTCCCAGGAGCAACACAAATGTAGTATGGCCAAGGGATATTCACCAAACAACAAGATGTCAACATCTGGTTCCACTGCAAGAAACTCTTGGTTCAAATATTTGCCTTAGACAAGTCTGACGACGAGGCGTGTAAACTTAGAGGCATCACAAGAATGGCCATGAACCCGAGGCTTAAGACAACAAAACAACGTGTGTGACAAACCTCCGTCTGGACAAACCGAGAGTCAATTACGAAAGGACCCTGCTGAAAATCAGGCATCTCATTCTTAGTCAAAAAGAAAGGAGCAGGTTAAATTTTCAAATGTGTGTCCATCAGGGAAGATAAACCATTTCTGACCCCACTGTGCGAGTCAATGAGGGATGATTTAAAAAAGTACTGTACCACATAAGGTATAAAATCCTGCATGTACATGGTTACCTTACCTTGCACCTTGCAATGATTTCGGGGCTCAGCATCCCCGAGGCCCAGTCCTCGACCACGCCTCCTCAGCAAATGCAAATGGGGTTCACATTTAATTCCTCAGGCCTTCAGTAAAGAAATACCATATTGAAAAAACTCATGAGCACCTCTCCTGAGTGTGAGGGCCTCCATATTGAGAAAGCAACCATGAGGTGTGCATGCAGCAGCTGCTCTCAGCACTGCAGTGCAGCTTGTGCCCACAGTATAACTTAATAATTATGAAACACTGTAAACATCTCTGAAATGGTGTCAGAGATCATCTTAAACATGGACTGCTGAAGTGTGCAGGTCAGCTGGGTAGGAATGCCACCTACTCATAACAGCTACCAACAAGGTAAAATCCTAGAGCAACAGGCACAAGATCTTGAAAAGATCCTACCAGATATAGGTTATGTCTGATGTCAACCTGCAGGGAAACAGAGATTTTGGTTCATCAAATTTATTGACAGGGTTAGTATAGGCGGAGGATCCGTTCGTGAGACTGATACGGCAAAGTTTGCATTACGAGGGGAAAAAGAATTTCCTGAAAGCACCTTGTGCTTAACATTTAATTTATTAAACATAAAACAAAAATGTATATACACATGGAAATGGTGATAACTGTCTTGACTATGAGGTTCCATAGGCAAATCTATGCACAGTATTGTCTCTTACCGACAAACCCAGGTGACAATGCAACCTAACTTAATACTATTAATATGAACACCTTGAGCAATAACGGTTGACTAAACACCCCTTCTGGATGCAAGGGAACAATTTGGAGCTCAAATGATGTTCGGAAAACTATTTGCAGGAGCATAAAACTGACACGTGTTGCAAATACATTTACAAATACTTTGGGAGTCAAGAACTGGCACTCCATAGGATGTCTTTCTCTGAATGGTTACACAAAACAGAGTCAGGTTCTGTCAGGCAGTCAACAGTGAACACTAAGTTCACTGGGCTGCACTTAGCACCACGAAATGTTAATAATGTGCACAGAAATAATGAAAAAAAACAGCGTTGAATGTAATGAAATGCCATTTACTGAGTGATTCCTGGAGGCTCCCCGGACCTATCCAGGCTGATATGGATACCTTAACTATTTTGCATCAGTTGACGTGGGTGGAGTTCTAGGCTTACCAGGAACCACGAGCCAGAACCTGGCCCCCTCACAGATACCTGCTTGATGGGGTTCTGGGAATTCTTCTACTCCCCAAGCCCGGCCCGAGGCCAGGCTTGACTTGTGAGAGTTTGGTCCACCAGGCTGTTGCTTGGAGCGACCCGCAGGCCCACATACCCACCACAGCCCGGCTGATCTGGAACTTCTCTTAGAAGTCCAGTTTTCTCTTGAAGATGTCCACGGTTGTTCCGGCAATATTTCTGAAAGTCGCTGGGAGGACGTTGAACAACCACGGATCTCTGATGTTTATACAGTGTTCTCTGATTGTGCCTATGGCAGAGGCACGAGGAGCCTATGTGCTCATGTGCCTATGACAGAGGCACGAGGAGCAATGCCCCATAGAAATGCACGTATGATTTTGGGCATTCTATATCTGCCATCGACCGGGACAGGCACCCAGAAAGGTAAGCGCCACAAAATAAACCCCTATTCTGGTTAAAATAATGAAAATCGCCAAACGAGTGGACAGAACTCCCAAAAGAAAAATGAGCAAACAAGTCACAAGAGCTGCGCCGCATGTCTGTGCAGTTACACCATCCCTGGGAGCGAAAGGGGGAGCCCAGACCCTCGCGTCGACGATCCACACTTCAGTTCTGAGGCTGGATATCAAAAATGCAAAAAAAAAAAAAAAAAAAAAACACCGGCGTAGGAAGGGAGGGTTGCCGGCGAGCCTCCGGGACTCACCCAGAAAATGGTGTTTCATTACATTCAATATTGGTTTTCTGGGGGAAGCCCCTATGGCTCCCCGGAGCTATTTCACCAAAGATGAAACAGAGGGACGCATCCAGGAGGCGGTCGGGGTTCACACCACAACACAAACTCGGGACAACAGGCTGCAACAGCTGACCCAAGGCGACACAGGCCAGACTAAGCCCATGAACTTACACGAGGGAGCGTGCAGCCAGGACCCAGCGCAACCGCCAAAACAACCCTGTGCCCTAATGTCAGTCAAAGACATGCCACGAAAGATGGCAGCAAGCTCAGCAAACTTATGAACGTCAAGGGCACGAGGAGAGACTGCAGGCTGACCATTGGGCCCACTCTCTTCCTGCTATTTCGGCCGCCCCGGCTTTTTCTTGCGAGGTCGGGGGTTTGGAGGACGACTCGCCCCCGGGGCCTGACATGGTGGTTCCCGGGGTTGGGGAGGGGCTGACTTGGGGGCCTAATGTTCCTCCGGAGCTACGGCTGGAGGAACAGACTTGAACATCTCCAACACAACCCCGGAAGGGGCAACCCCTGAAACTGCCCGATTCTCAAACCACGAAACCCTGCCCCGACCCCAAAGCGTGGGTGGGGGGACCGAATGAACCACAGCAGGGGAAAGAACGAGGGGGCGAGGACTGAACCAAGGCCGACGCGGTCAACACCCCCATGTCCGGGTCCTGAGTAGCAAAACGGGGCAGCCTTGGGGCATCCGGGGAAGAAACCAAACTAGTGCGTTGCAACAACCTATCCGACAACGTGGGAGCCGCTTGCACCCGAAGAATGTCATCAACAGATTGTGTGATTGGAGCCACAAACAAGCAATAAAGCTCACAGGATTCAGGGTCTAATATGTCACCGACTCAACAGGCAGCAAGACTGAGGCAAAAACCATGACTGTCGTGCTGAGACAAGGGGACAAAGCAACCCTCAAACTCACACAACGTGAGAGGGGACACAGGGGTCTCACCCAGTGGACCCAAGTGCCCCCGAGGGATTTCCCAGGGCCCCTAAACTGGTTCTGCTAAGGGTTATCCCAGGCAGGGGACTGCTAACCGGCGCCCCAAACTACCAAGCAAACTGCTAAAAACTGAACTCACAGGATGTGTTCACTCACAAGGGGTGAAGCAGGGGGTGCCACCACACAAATGACCCTAAGATAAGGGGGAGGGAGAACACAAGGCAGACCCCCCCCCCCCCCCCACCAGGCAAAAATAAAAGAAAAAACCTCGCAAGAGAACAAAGCCGGCCGCTGTTAAAGGTGAAAACTAGCTACACAGTACCCTGGGCCCCACTAGTGCAATAACTATCACTTACCCCAAGGCAAACAAGGGCAGACCCCCCCACCCCCACACACACACACACTCGGGGCGGCCAAACGCCAAGCAGCGAAAGGCCAACAGAGGTAGACCCAAGGTGACTTGTGGAAGGGAACCCCAAGCCCCAAGGGCAGTACTTACAGGGCACGCAGGAAAGGTGACCCTAAGCACATGCAGCCTGAGGACTTGAGAAATTACTCCCAACACGCACACCACCGTAAGAGCAGCACTGAAACCAATAACAGCACTGAGAGAAGACTGGAGTTGGAGCCACATGATTATGCATGATCCCATCAGCCGAGGAACTGAAGTGTAGAGCGCCAGCGCGAGGGTCTGGGGCTCCCCCTTCCCCCTCCCCCTCCCGAGGAGGGGGGTTACCTTGAGGTTACCTTGAGGTGATTCCGGGACTCAGTGACCCCGCGGCCCGGTCGTCAACCAGGCCTCCTCGTTGCTGGACTGGTCAACCAGGCTGTTGGACGCGGCTTCTCGCAGCCTGACATATGAGTCAAAGCCTGGTTGATCAGGTATCCTTTGGAGATGTTTGTCAAGTTCTCTCTTGAACACTGTGAGGGGTCGGCCAGTTATGCCCCTTATGTGTAGTGGAAGCGTGTTGAACAGTCTCGGGCCTCTGATGTTGATAGAGTTCTCTCTCAAAGTACCTGTTGCACCTCTGCTTTTCAACGGGGGTATTCTGCACATCCTGCCATCCCTTCTGGTCTCATGTGCTGTTATTTCTAAGTGCAGGTTTGGGACCAGCCCCCTCTATTATTTTCCATGTGTAAATTATTATGTATCTCTCCCGCCTGCGCTCAAGGGAATACAGATTTAGGCTCTTTAGTCGGTCCCAATAGTTTTGATGTTTCAAGAGAATACAGATTTAGGCTCTTTAGTCGGTCCCAATAGTTTTTATGTTTTACTGAGTGGATTCTAGCAGTAAAGGATCTCTGCACACTCTCCAGGTCAGCAATTTCTCCAGCTTTGAAAGGGGCTGTCATTGTGCAGCAGTATTCCACTCTAGAGAGCACTATTGTCTTGAAAAGTATCATCGTGAAAGGTTTTTATTAACCAACCTATCATTTTTCTTGCAGTTGTGATGCATACTTTATTGTGTTCTTTAAATGTAAGGTCTTCCGACATCAGTACACCCAAATCCTTTACATTGCCTTTCCGTTCAATGTTATGATTTGACCAAGTTTTGTACGTGGTTTCCGTTTTTATAGTTTCATTTTTTCCGTAGCGCATGAGCTGAAACTTATCTTCGTTAAACACCATGTTATTTTCTGTAGCCCATAGAAAGACCTGATTTACATCTGATTGGAGGTTTGCCGTGTCCTCTATGTTGCCTACTCTCATGAAAATCCTAGTGTCATCTGCAAAGAATGATATACAGTACTATAGGTTGTGTCCTTGTCTATGTCCGATATGAGGATGAGAAAAAGTATTGGAGCAAGCACAGTACCCTGGGGGACTGAGCTCTTTACGGTTGATGGTCCGGATTTTATTTTGTTGACTATTACACATTGGGTTCTATTAGTCAGGAAATTGTAGATCCACCTGCCTATTTTTCCGGTAATTCCTTTTGAACGCTTTTTATGTGCAATAACACCATGGTCACATTTGTCAAAAGGGGAGCTGAGCAGACATGCGGCACAGCTCGTGTGACGTCATGCTTGTTTGCTCGTTTTTCTTTATGGAGTTCTGTCCACTCATTTGGAGATTTTCGTTGTTTTAACCAGAATAGGGGCAAAGACGGCAGCAAAAGCAGCAAACTTACAAATGTCAATGGGTACAGGGATAGAACGCAGGCTGGCAAGACTTAGAACCCTGCAGACGACCTGAGTGACCCGTACCTGCGAACAGGGAAGAAGGCAAGCCGGATCAACTCAAAGCGCATCCCCAGAATAGAAGCCGTGGCGCACAAATAACGGTGGAGGGCCACAACTGGACACAACACATGATGCACCCCCAGCCTGACCAACCAAGTATCAACAACCCAAGGAACCCTCCAGAAGGCAGCATTCTCGTTCTTCGCCAGAAAAGAAGGAGATAGCTGCAGACAAGCAAACCTATCACCACGACTGAAAGAGCAGAAACCCCTGTGCCAGAGGAGAGCATGAAGCTTCCTAACCAGACCCCCAGAGGCCAATGCCAACAGGAAAAAGAGCCTTAGAAAAACAATCCTGAACTGAAGGGCCCACAACAAACCAAGAAGAGAGATAAGAGAGCATCCTATCCAAAGACCAGGATGGCTCAGACGGCGCATGAGCAGGCCAGAGGTGAAACAACGCTCGAGACAGTTTGTGAAACAGCGCAGAAGCAACTTCGGCACTGAAAGCAAGCTGCAGCGGCTCTGCCAGTGCCGCACGATACGAGGTGACAGTATTCAGCATAAGATGACGGTCCTGGAACAACCACGAGAGAAAGGACAACACCACCCGAACAGAAAGCGAAGAACAATGACGAAGAGTGAAAAAGAAACGGAAGGACCGTCAGGAAACTTCATACTGCCATTGAGACGAAGCATGCAGGTGGGACACCATCAGTCCTGCCACATACAGTATACCAGAAGACGCCTCGACCACGTCGACGTGAAGAGGTCCACCTCCAGGCGCACGAACGTCTGGCAGAGCCAACTGAATGAGTCGGCATCGACCGTCCATTCCGTTGACAGGGAAATGAACCGGGACAGGCCGTCTGCCAGGACGTTGGACACCCCCCGGATATGAATCGCCAGGAGAGCCAAACCCCGAGAACTCAGCAGACGAGTCACCCGAAGCGACCAACCCCCAAAGAGCCAAGGATCGCACTGGTCCAGTGGTTTACTGGACCGCAGTGAACCACCGGACCAAGGGTTGTTGATGCTTGGTCTGGTGGTTCAGGCAATGAACCACCGGAGAGCAGTCCAAATGGAGCCGCAGTACTGAACCAAGGCACAGCACAACAAGAATCGGGAGCTGGAGCCACTCGACCGTGATGCCTCACATCAGCCAAAGAACTGCAGAGTGGATCGCCAGCGTGAGGGTCTGGGGTTTCCCATTCCCCCTTCCGGGGAAGGGGGGGCTGCGCAGACATGCAGCGCAGCTCGTGTTACATCATGCTCATTTGCTCCTTTTCATTTGGGGAGTTCTGTCTACTCTTTTGTCTATTTTTGTTGTTTTTAACCAGAACAGGGATTTGTCTTGGGGCGCTTACCTTTCTGGATGTCAGATATAGAATGCTCCAAAATCACATGTGCATTCTATAGGCAATTGCTCCTCGTGCCTCTCCGAGGAGGCCACGTTCTGGCTCATGGTCCCCGGAAGGCCTAGAACTCCACCCACATCGACTGATGCCAAAGTTAGAGATAATCATATCGCCCTGGATAGCTCCAGGAAGCCGAAGGGGCTCTCCCCAGAAAAGGAGGCGAGGTATAAGGTGAGGAACTGGTAAGAAAATAAGGTACAGTAATTCCTAAAAGAAGGTAAGAGTAAGGTGAAAGATAAGAATGGGATGAAAGGTATGAATGGGATGAGTGTAATAATGGGATGAATGAAGAATGGGATAAATAAAAATAAGAGGAGAGTAAGAGCAAGAAGAGGAGGAAAGCTTAAGTCAGGTCACATTTGTTAAGAAGGCTAACAAAGGCTAAATGCCCTCAAGTATACAAGTGAATCTTCAAGCTATGAAAATTGAAACTCTACTTACCCTCTGTTACGAAGTGCATCTCTCTCTTGTCTCCTCTGCTCAGCTCTTTGTCGAATTATGGCTGGATCTTCACAGAAAGATCTAAAACCAGTTTGGAATGGTGTGTTACTATCCTTGCCTGCTTCTTCACTGCTTTCTCTCTCTGGGGTCGGCGTGTGTTGTTTACTCCTGCTCGAGTTAGAAAATATCCGTTGTACGCCTCTTGTGCCACCTTTGCTCTTGGGTCTAACACTGACCTGTTCTTTAGGGCTGTAAGGATAAATATAATAGTTATTTACTGGCACATATGTAACTTCAAACTACACAAATAAAATAATAAAAAAAATAAATGTACTTTAAAATTAAAAGCTGTTATAAAAATATTTGTTTCCAGAATGAAAGTCATGTTTGCCAAATGATTTTATCTATGTAAGAACAGATGCATGAACACAAAACCTTTACCCTTTCTGAGACGAGTCTTCTTTATCTTCAACACCTTTACTAGTCTCCTCTTTATCAGATTCTTCTGGAGATTCATCCGCATATGCATAGTCTATTTGAGTGTTCAAGCGGCCAGCTCCAATAATTCCAGGGCGTCTGCAAAAAACATTAAACATTCAGGAATAACAAACACATATATTCATTTAATCCCATTGCTTCTTTAACATAGATACCCTAAAAGATATACTGTAACCCCGCGATTATCCGGGATTCAAACATCCGGAAAACGCCCTTATACGGCCAAAATCGCGATCGGATAAAGTTATCACAATATCCGGCCAAAATAGCCACAGGGACCGGATTAAAGCAGGTTTAGTCGGATAAAATGTTGGGGCCCGGTTAATTTCCTGCAGAAATTACACTATCCGGTCAGTCCCCCGGATAATCGTGCCTTTGTCCGTATATGAAAACATGAGGCGGGCCATACGGTATTAATCCCGTCTGCCCGAGACTCGAGGTGCATGGTGTAGGTGGGGGTGGGGTGGGTGGGTGGTGTCGGGAGAGAGGGGAGCGTTGGGAGGGACCACCTGGGGGATTAGGGGGGGGATGGGGAGTGGCCTATACACTACAGTACAGTAATTACTATCAATTTTAGAACAATTCATTATAGCCAAAATCAAAAGAAATACTAGTAATTATGTAATAAAAAATTCCATACAAGTTTCCTAAAAACAATTTGCACAGGCTGAAGTTTCCTTCAAAAATATATTTTTTTTTTCCTCCTGGCGGCCTACGTAACGTGCCTCCTTCCTGCCCCGAGTGGACCCGTCCAGGCCCGGTCAAGCCATGTGCTCTCTACCCTCGTGTTACACCACAGTGCCGCGCCATTAGTGAAATATTTTTTTAAATAACTTTTTTATTTTCATAGTAACTTTGAACATTTTTGGCCAAGACTATGTCTGGTAGCAGCATGAATCGTTCTGGAGGTGGAAAGAGGAAGAAGGTTGTCTTAACACTTAAGGACAAGCTACGTGTTATACAACTTTGTGAACATGGCCGGTCGACCTCAAGTGTTGCCAAGGAATATAATATAGGCACTAGTACTGTTTCTGATATAAGGAAACAAAGAGAGAAACTTATGCAATTCATTTCAACCTGTGAAAGTGAAGGTGCAAGCACTAGCAGAGGTTTTGTTAGAAAAACTATGAAAACTTCGACGCATGTGCAGTTGGATGAGGCTGTGTACAAGTGGTTTGCTCAGCACCGCACAGCTGGCGTGACAATTCGCGGCCCAGAAATACAAAATGCTGCAAGCAGATTTGCTGAAAGCCTTGGAATAAAGAATTTCGAAGCGAGTGAAGGGTGGGTTGCAAGGTTCAAGGGTAGGCACAATATTGTGAAGAGGAAAATTGTCGGTGAAAAACTGAGTGCAGATGAAAGCAGTGTAGAACCATTTAAACGTAAATTACGAGAATATATTGTGGCAAATAATATTTATTCGTATCAAATTTATAATGCAGATGAAACTGGGTTGTATTGGAGGAGTTTACCAGAAAAAAACTCTAGCAATGAGGAGTGAGGGTTGTGTGCCAGGACGTAAGGTTTGCAAGGACAGGCTCTCAGCCATGATGTGTGCGAATGCCGACGGCACAGACAGAATCACGTGTGCAATTGTTGGCAAATCTAAGAAACCAAGAGCCTTGCAACATTGCATGGACAGACTGCCAGTGAAATATTATAACTCAAAAAACCAGCGTTGAATGTAATGAAACGCCATTTTCTGGGTGAGTCCCGGAGGCTCCCCGGAGCTATCCCAGGCTGATATGCTAATGTCAGACTTTGGCATCAGTCATGTGTATGGAGTTCTTAGGCCTACCGGGGACCACGGCCAGAACCGGGCCCCCTCAGAGAGGCAAGGGGAGCAATGGCCTATAGAAGCCCCCGTGTAGTTGGAAGCATTCTATGTCTGCCATCGACCGGAACAGGCACCCAGAAAGGTAAGCGCCCCAAAACAAACCCCTATTCTGGTTAAAATTGCTACCTAAAACCGAACTAGTGGATAGAACTCCCCAACCGAAAACAAGCAAACTAGTGTGACGTCACACACTGCCGCGCCGCTGTCTGCGCAGCTCCCCCCTCCCCGGGAGGGGGAAGGGGGAGCCCCAGACCCCCCGCGCCGGCTACCCACACCTCAGTTCTTGAGGCTGGATGTCAAAAACGCGAAAAACCGCCGACCGGAGGGAGGGAGGGATGCCGGGGAGCCTCCGGGACTCACCCAGAAAATGGCGTTTCATTACATTCAACGCTGGTTTTCTGGGGGGAGCCCCGTCGGCTCCCCGGAGCTAACTACCCACAAACAGAAAAAGAGGGACTTACCCGGGAGGCGGTCGTCGCTCACCCCTCAACTCGAAGCCGAGACAACTGGCCGCAACCGCCGACCCAAAGCAACACAGGCCCGACGAGGCCCAGGGACATTCACAAGGTAACGAGCAGCCAGGACCCTGTTCGACCGCCAAAATCCCCGCGCCCGAATATCAGACCAAGACATATTCCCAAAGACGGCAGCAAGAGCCGCGAACTTACGAACGTCATGGGCACGGGGATAGACCGCAGGCTGGCTGGACCTAATAACCCTGCGGACGACCTGAGAGACCCGAACCCGCGAACAGGGAAGAAGGGAAACCGGATCAACCCACAGCGCGTCCCCGGACACAGAAGCTGTGGCGCGCAAATAACGGCGAAGCGCCGCAACCGGACACAAAACATGATGCACCCCCGGCCTGACCAACCAAGCATCAACCACCCATGGACCCCTCCGGAACGCAGCAGTCTCATTCTTCGCCAGAAAAGAAGGAGACGGCTGCAAACGAACAAAACTATCACCACGACCAAAAGAGCAGAAACCCCTGCGCCGGAGGAGAGCATGAAGCTCCCCTACCCGACCCCCAGAGGCCAAAGCCAACAAGAAAAGTGCCTTGGAAAAACAATCCTGGACCGAAGGGGCCACAACGAAACGAGGAGATGAAAGGAAAGCGAGCACTCTGTCCAAAGACCAGGACGGCTCAGGCGACGCATGAGCAGGCCGGAGGTGAAACAATGCACGAGACAGCTTGCGAAACGGCGCAGACGTAACATCGATACCGAAAGCAAGCTGAAGCGGCTCCGCCAGCGCCGCACAATACGAAGCGACAGTGTTAGGCATAAGATGACGGTCCTGAAACAACCACGAGAGGAAGGACAAGACCACCCGAACAGACAAGGAGCTAACACGACGAAGACGCAAAAAGAAACGGAAGGACCGCCAGGAAACTTCATACTGCCGCCGAGAAGAAGCCCTCAGGTGGGACACCAACAAGGAGGCCACCTGATCACCATAGAGATGATGATAGACTCGAGTCAAAAAAACCATACGCGAAGACTCGAGGAGAAGATCGAACCAGCTACGTGACGTACCGGCCCGATCTGCTGAAAGAGGCGGAGCCGCGGGAAAACCCTCGGGTTCGGACACCGAGCAACCAGCGCCTGAAACCAAGGCTGGGCCGGCCACCAAGGGGCCAGAAGGACAACTCTCCCCCGGTAAGTCTCTAAGCGAGTCAGGACCTGGAGCAACAGCCGAACCGGGGGAAAGAGGTACAGGAACCCCCACCTCGACCAGTCGAGCCGAAAGGCATCGACCCCGACGGCCTCGCAATCGGGGAAGGGCGCCGCATAAACGGGAAGACGCCGCGACCACGCCGACGCGAAGAGGTCCACCTCGGGGCGCCCGAACGTCTGGCAAAGCCAACGGAAGGACTCGTCGTCGACCGTCCACTCCGTGGAGAGGGGAACGAAGCGAGACAGGGCGTCGGCCAAGACGTTGGACACGCCCCGTACGTGAACCGCCAGGAGAGCCAAACCCCGAGAACTCAGCAGACGAGTCACCCGAAGCGACCAACCCCAAAGAGACAAGGACCGCATCGAACCCCCGCGGTTCAGGCAATGAACCACCGGAGAGCAGTCCGAATGGAGCCGAATCGTCGATCCGCGGGCCACCCGAATCCTCCCCAGAGCAAACCACACTGCCGCGAACTCCCGCACCGTACTGTGAGCTCGACGGAAGGACGGATCCCAACGCCCCTGGCCGGCCTGGTGAGCACTGGTCACAAAACCCCAGCCGAGAGACGACGCATCCGTGTACACATCGAGCGAGGGCTCGGGTAGGCGCCAAGGCACTGAACCCCGAAAAACCCGAAGAGGAAGCCGGTGACGCAGCAACCGACGCAAGTCCCCCGGGGGTCGAACTCTGCGATCGCGAGAGAGGCGGAAGGGGGAACCCCGAAGGAACCAGAACAGCCGTCGAAGCCAAACCCGACCCGGCGGGTAGACCACCATCGCGAAGTTCAGGCTCCCGCACAGCCCCTCGAGCAACCGCCGGGTGACCCGAGGGCCCTCCAGAAACAGACGAAGGCGGGACCGCAGCCGCAGGAGAGACTCCGGAGGGAGAGACAAGGAGGCGGTTCGAGAGTCCCACACGAGACCCAGCCAAGTCCGAACCTGAGAGGGAACCAGATGGGACTTCCTCCAGTTCACCAAGAACCCGAACCCGGCGAGCTGGGAAAGAACCAAATCCCTGGCTAGCAAGCAAGCTGACTGGCTGGGAGCCCAAACCAGCCAGTCGTCGAGGTAGGCCAACACCCGAACACCTAGGAGACGCAAACGAGCCACCACAACCCGTGTAAGGCGTGTGAACACGCGAGGTGCCAGGTTCAACCCGAACGGGAGACAACGAAAGCGGTAACTCAGACGCCCCACTACAAAACCGAGCCAGTCCCTGAACCGCGGATGAATCGGGACATGCCAATAAGCGTCCCGGAGGTCCAGGGACACCATCCAAGCTCCCGGCTCCAAGAGGAGCCGAACCTGAGACAGCGTAGTCATCCGAAAGGAGGGGCAATGAACCCAGGGGTTCAGACGGGACAAGTCCAGAATGAACCGCAGGTCCGCGCAGTCCCGGTTCGGAACCGGAAACAGACGGGAAACCCATCTGAGGGACGACGTCGTTTCGACGACGCCCAAGCGTACCCACTCCAAGACGACTCGACAGAGCGCAGGGGAAGAAGCCTGCCCTGCCAGCCCCGACCCCCCAACGGGGGGGAGGGGCCACCCAACGCCACCGC